AAGTCCATCTGGTGGGGTCTCCTTGGCCTCCTTGATCAAGAGGTCAGATGACCCACCACCTTTACAGGACGTTTTGCGAGATGCTCATAGTCCCTAGGACTAATCGACCTAGGAGGGCAAGGAGCAAAAAGTGTCCTTTGTCCCTCTGACCCAATTAGTATAGATCTCAAGGTATGTCTGTTAAACATCCAAGAAGGTTAGTTCATCATCCTGGCATTTTTAATTGCTGTGTGTCATGCAGATAAGTCTTGGGTAGTGACCAGTTGGTCTCGAATAAACCATACCTAGAGATATTTTTCTTGGTCTGTTATGTATAATTAGTCCATAGATTGTAGGAATAATATGGTTCCCTCTCATTTTTGTGCCTACCTAGGCGTTGTTTCTCTCTTGTATCGTCTCACCCCTCTATCATGGTTTTCCCACTTAAGGTGCCCCCACTTCCCCCCCTTTCTTCCTTACTAATACCCTTGCTCCTATGATCCTACCTCTGCTGAGCTTCTTCTTTCTCCTTATCCCCTAGGTTCCTCATATAGCCTTCCCTCCCCCTTCCCTTAGACTAACCCATTTTTTATCGATATCTCCCTTATTAAGGCCTGTTACCTACTATTCTTCTCCTTCAGGTTATTTCTTTTCCTTTACCTCACTGTTTCCTTACCCTTGTCCTGGTTCCTGGAGTAATGTCTGTTTGCATACTTATTTAAGAGCCAAGATTTTAATTTTGAGTTAAGGTGGACAATCTATGATTTCTGATGTGTTAGACTTGTGTTCATCATGCCTCTCCCATATCAACACCACTGGATTTTGCTTTGGAATTATGTTTTCTGATTAGCTGAAAGGACAGTATAAAAAGTCATAAAATAACCATTCTTTGTCATTAGGATGCTACTGAGGATGCAGCCCGCTCTCAGTATTTTAAGTACAGTGATCTGTGTGAGTGTAGCTTTCCAGAACTTAACACTCTGGAAATTGTCTGATTTCCTGAACATTTTCCATCTTAATGGCAACAGGAATCTGAAAATCCATTCATTTCTCCTTTTTTTTTTTTTTTTTTTTTTTTTTTTTTTTTTGTCAGTGGGCTTGTTAGAATCACATACACAGTTTAACTTCAACCATTATGCAAAATGTTAATGACCTGCAC